AAATTATAAAATAAAATTTTTAATTAGTAATGAAAAATATATAATTAATATTACAGGTAATGCGGCCCAACCCCAACACACGGTTTTTCACACATTTACCATTTATGGTCAGCAGAGTGCTCAAGTGAATCCTACTTTCCCTTGTTTCCTCTGAAATTGAAATCCCTACCCGAAGCTCAGAGTTGCTGAAATCGGTGGCCCTCTTCCTCAATGGTCCGGCTACGTTTGATGTACTGTCTGTCTAACTCTGAAGAGCGCAGGATGAAGGGTGGCGAGCCCGAAGGAATCAATAAGAAGCTGAAAAATAGTCATATGATGATGTTTTATGCTGCTTAGGTAAGAAATAATTCCAGACATCATGGGGTTGTTGTCTTCCATATTCAGCTAATTTTCCATGAGAGTAAGAAATGGAATTGGTGAGATTGAAGTCTTAGTTCATTAAGAAATATACTACTTTTTTTGAGCAATTTATCCTGAATTTTCTTTTCTTTGTTTACTGATAAAAAGAAAAATGTTTTTATACTTCTTGGGTTTTTCAATGTCAGGCTTTTATTCAAAAGGCTATTCAAAGGATCCAAAGGAGCTGCCAGCTAAGTTGAGAGGAAAAAGTTAGCTCTCTGATTTTCACTCAGTCCAAGAGAAAACAGGGTAAGGGTTTACTGTTTGCACTGGCAAGAAATATTTTTTATAATGAAATGCAGCTGTTTCAAATAGTCGGCCTAACAACAATTGTCCGTCCGTTCCCTCTTAATATTCATGATTCATTTAGTCTTAAGATACAATTAAAAATCAGAATTTATTGACAGTTTAAGTGCTGCTTGGATTTCACGTGAAATTGGTTAAATATTTATAATGAATCTTTTTTGTTGTGTTAATTTATTGAGGATATATTTTAATCTTTTTATTATTATTTTTAATATTTTAATACCAAGATGTAGTAATTTTTCTTCGTCCCTCTTACTAATTTTAATATATTAAAATTTTATTTATGTAAAAAATACAAGTCAATACAAATTTAAAGCAATTTAAGTACTAGTGTACAACTTAAGAAAAACATAGGAGAAATATATTAAAATTTCATGATGGATGAAAGTTAAGACATTTTAAGAGTGTTTTAGTACTTTTATATTTTGGTGCAATTCAAACCGAAAAATGTCCATCTTACCTATTTATGGATTACATGCAAATTTGAAATTTGAATTCAAAGACATTTCAAGACTCCCAACACAACAGCGGTAAACAAACTTCGGCAAAAACTAACATTTAGCCTCTTACCTTATAAAGTTGGTATGTTTTAGTCCTTAATTTTATTCATCTTATAATATGATGCTTTTAGCCCTTTTCCTTGTAGGTTTTAGCCCCTCACCTTACAAAATTGGTAATTTTTAACTCCTCATCTTATATTATGACATTTTTAGCCCTTCACCTATACGAATTAAAGAAAATAACTCTCACCTAATATTAGGTTATAATATTTTGTTGGTTTTGTTAATTAACTGTTAACATCCGTTAGTATTTCGTTATAGAAAACATAAAATTTAAATTCAATTTTATTTGTTAGTTCCATTAACGGAATGCTAACAGATGGTAACAGTCAGTTAACAGAACTACCAGTCAATTAACAGAACTAACAGAACATTATAAGTTGATGTTAAGTGAGAGCTATTTTTTTCAATTCGTATAGATAAGGGGCTAAAAGTGTCATAGTATAAGGTGAGGGGCTAAAATCTATTACTTTTGTAACGTAAGGGGTTAAAACCTACTAACTGTGTAAGGTAAAAGACTAAAAATGTCATATTATAAGGTTAGGGGTTAAAACCTATCAATTTTGTAAAGTGAAAGGCTAAAAATTGATTTTAACCAACAAACTTTCATAGGCTGTTGAATCAAGTTGCTCATTAACTTCAAAACAATGCATTCGAAAAAGTTCTTCTTCCAATAAAATGTACACATTAATTTTTGTTCAAGTTCCCAGAAAATGGACCAAAGAACAAAGAAATGGAATTTAATTCTGGACTAAAGTGGGAGACATGTGCTGTTTGGCTGTAAAGTGAAACCAGTTATCCTATGGTATTATTATTATTATTTTTTCATGTGTTGTTGTTACTACATTTTGAATTATTAATGTCACATCTTTAATTATTAATGTCATATCTCTAATTACTAACGTTACACATTTTTATCTTAATTGATTATTATATTATTTAATTTATTA